CCATCTATTCCGAAGCCTCCAATGTCCAAACATTCATGAAAATGATTTATATCGTTCAATTCAATGATGAGTTTGTCATTAACACGTTTATGTGATGCAACTCGGTTGTAAAATAGTTTGTGGTGAAGTATTTTCTCAACTTCGGTATCATTGTGAACGGGTGAAATGAGTACTCGGTAGGAAAGTTTATGTTTTTTGGATATGGAATGTTCATCGATTTTTAGTGTAGCCTCTTTTGTCCACTTCCTGAGAGACTTGGATGCTATCACAATCGCATTACCAGTTTGTTTATTGTACTGTGTATAGAGTGAAGTTTTGTGTAGTGAAGGTTCACCAAGTTGAGCAGCAATAGCTGACAAGAGTTTTTCGTTATTAGTGTTTGTTGGTAAGTCTTCGAAAAAACAACAGTCAGCACGTGGATAAACAGTAGCAAACGCAGCCTCGATTCTGAAGTCGGGTGAGGAGGCTGCTTGGATTAGTTCAGCGAGCTGCTTGTAACAGATTCGAAAGACATTAGGGAACTGATCGGAGACGATTTCGCAACGACGAGTCTTTGATGTTTTATATGCGTTTGCATACCTTTGAGCAACTTCATCAGCCGAAAGAGCCTTCTTGAGTTCTGAACCAATTACGATGTAAGAGTCAAGTTCGAGTTCTTCGACAAATGTTATATTAGTGCCACTATTCTTGGAAAGGACAGTTGTCTCAAGCTCGGTAATCAGGTAATGTTTGTCATCTTCATGTAGCATATTGATGACAGCGACACCCAGTGTGGAATAACATTGGACACTTTGTACATCTAGGCGATGGGCTGTCTTCAAACGAGTCTTGATTTGTTCTTCGAGTTCTTCGTCATCGACGTCCACAGGAATATCAGGTATGTAAACTGTTATATCAGCCATAGTAGTTTCTACAGATGGAATCTATTATCAAAATCTATGGAAAAAGAAAACAATACATTTCATCTTTCGAATCTAATTATTTTTAGATGTTAGAAGACATTTTTAAATAGCCATTTCAGATATTGTGTGATGGTATTTATTATGTAGGCTGTAACTTGGAAAAAATGAAGAAAAACAAGATTAGTCATTGAACTTGATAAGATAGTACTTAGTTATTTTTCGGCGACAACCAGCCTATTATCTTACCATCCAAACTGCTTCTTTGCATAGATAATAACAAAAGAAAAAATCTCTTGTGTACACCGAACACGATCTTATGCAGGGGAAAAAACCTAGGAAAATGTTGACTCGTTCTATTTGCTTTGTGATAGTGCCCAACGTGTTTTGAAGCATGGTCTTCATTCGAGATAAAGAAAAATGAAATCTTTAGACTTTATTTTCATGTGAAACAGATCGAGGCGAAGCGAATAAAGTGTATGTTGTCGATAGCTACGTCCTCTTCCTTTCCTGAGTGATATGAAACGATAACAATCGATGCATTGTGCAACCGTTTACTAGATTGCCCCCTTTATAAGTTGAGGTCATTTTATTACCACAAAGAACAAAATCAAACATTTGTTTTTGATGGTGAGATTAGTTTTTACAAACGAGAAAACTATCAGGACTAATAAAATGACAAATACCATCACCAGGCCGTTTATGTAACATACGAAATGCGACATGTTCTTTACCGAAATTGTTTGTTTTCAGATGACACATAGCATACATTGTGACATTATTGAGTTCTTCGTTATAATTGACAGTAACTTGTTTAACAACTGTACCGTGAACTGCGTGGCATAGATAGAGCGTATTACAATCAGTGGCGTTTGCTTTCATTGTATGACACACAAGTGGATTGCCGTCGCAGCCGACAATTTGAACCACTTCGGAAATTGTAACGTTAAAGGGTTCGGGAAATGGAAGTTCAGCCAATTTTTCGTCTTCTCTGTATATTGCGATGTTGTCATTTGAAACATTAAATAATTCTGACGCATATGATGTGATTTCATCTATTTGGTGAAAACATTGACGTACTTCACCTTCAACATTGTTGTCAATGTTACAAATGGAGATATTTGAAATATCGCAAGTATTTATGCTTTCATCATTGATATTTGTTTGTTCTACATTACCCCAGGATCCGCCCATTAAAAGTGTGTTATTCACAGCTAATGACGATGGCAGCTGATACCAGCCTTGGTACAAAGAGCGATTGAATGGTTTATTTGGATTTTCCCGTTCAGATTCGTATGGTTTTGGGCTTGAATGATGGTGATGATGTTGGCCGTGTGCTTCAGCTTTATCTGGTTTATTTATGTGACTTCGGCGTACTACAGCACCTTCATCGGTTGATTGTTGATCATTGGCAGCAGTAAGTGCGCGTGGATACACTATCCAACGCCAGTTTGGTTGATACCCCCAGTTCGGATTTCGGCGAACTCGAGTCTTTTCTTCATCGGTTGATTGTTGATCATTGGCAGCAGTGAGTGCGCGTGGATACGCTATCCAACGCCAGTTTGGTTGATACCCCCAGTTCGGGTTTCGGCGAACTCGAGTCTTTTCTTCATCGGTTGATTGTTGATCATTGGCAGCAGTTAGTGCGCGTGGATACGCTATCCAACGCCAGTTTGGTTGGTATCCCCAGTTCGGATTTCGGCGAACTCGAGTCTTTTCTTCATCGGTTGATTGTTGATCATTGGCAGCAGTGAGTGAGCGTGGATACGCTATCCAACGCCAATTATAACGGGAATTCGGATTAGTAAGACCATTCGAATGTTTCAGAATTATCGCACAAGCAATAATTAGTATTAATTTCATTTTTCAACAGCAAAATAGATTTCTTCGGAGTGTTTTATTCCATCGACTCGGTGGTGTATATATAGAGAATAAATGGGGAAGTAAATGTATACATTATTAGCATAAATACAAAGAGACTAAACGATATCTCAAGTAAAATAGGCACTTGATGCATTGAAATATATAGTTTTGCATACTATTTACGATGCAAACTTATACAAATAGACAAGAAGACAAAGACGATGTTTTCAAACGAATATGGAAATTCTTATTTGAAAAGAAATCGTGTGTATGGTTAAGTTGAATGACGTTTTAATGAATGAATAATTTTACTTTTCAGACATAGCGAAGAATATGTACTCAACGCTACGCTATTATCTTTGTGCCCATATTTTCATGGAAAGTCATATTACAAAACATCTGAATCGTGCTTCGATAATTGGAGCGCAAAATAACAATAATTGATAATAGCTATGTTGAAACAATAAACGAAGTTCCATTGAGTCCATATGCCACATATAGTTTCCATATGGATAGACAGTAACAAAATACCGAAGTTCCTTATGAATAATTACCTGTAAACGTCAAGATTTACCATATTTTTCGTCCACATATACAGCTACACAGTTAATATTTTAGTCTTTTCCTGTATAGTCGTTCACACCACGTCACTAGTCGTCTATCTGGACGTCGATACAGAAAGAAAAGATACGCTTACATATCCTGTTATAAGCACGATCACCTTTGAATTCATTCACAGGAAAACTAAGATTTCTATTTTTCTTTCTTTTTCTCTCGCACTTGGTTACACGTAAATGTATATATACGACCATGCTCGTTCTCCGAATGCATCTCAATATTACGTTGTAATCGCCGCGATAAGTGAGTTTCAAGCATCCGAATACCGTCAATACTTTCTTCACTATCTCATAATTCCGATATGACCACATCGTTCCAATAGAATACGGCGATGACATATTGGTATATTGGCAACAAGCGCGTGATGTATTCATGCAAGTTTAGTTTTAGGTGGCTCCCATGCTTCCAACAACGAATTTAATGGTCGATTACAATAGACCAATATCGTTGCTCACGACTTCTGCTAGATGGAATGACTATTCGACGATTTTATGTCTATGAAACATTGATCCGTCATACTTTTGCCGTTTTCCAAACGGATACAGAGCATACTTTCAAAGTTCATCCCATTGTTGACACCGAACCTGGACGCTATACACCAGTTTATGTTGACATTATACCAACGAGCTAAAATGGTTCATAAAACAAGAAGTCTACAGGTTTGGTGGTTATGAAGTGGGAATTAATGATTGTCGACACTTCGCACGGGCTGTACCATCATTCCTATCCAGTTAACTGCTTCGTCAATTGTCAAAAATAGTCTTTTCTGTACATAAAACACTCACGATAATAAAAATTGAAAGCTCAAGGAAGAATACTCACTTTGAAAATAAGAAAAAAGCCTAGGATTCATGTGACTAGCAACGATGCTTATACGCATCTGTTTCAGATGCACTTTGTGCTAATCTTCCATACATCACATTCAGAACATTCCACGCACCACTATATTTTTTAAAAAAGTACTGGAAAGGATTTAATCTGTATATAGAGCATTTATTACGAAGCAAGATCTTCTGATAAAAAATAGTCTAATCATCGTTATTCATCGAGATGAAAATAATAGCAAATGAGGGCTATCTTTTCTAATTTACACCTACACGACATAAGGTGAATCAGCTAGAAAGAAACCCTAATCTCTCCGAATGATCGAAAAAAGTGCATTTAAAAATAGTATCTAAACAGAGCATTTGCGTTGACATTTCGCCGATACTCTCCCGGGATTATTTGCTATTACGCACTTGAAACAATTTTCTTTCTGCTATTCGAAGAGTTAATTAAAAACGAATTTGATTTTGGAAAGAATATCATCTCGAACCATATGCAAAGAAACATCCATTACATTTCCACAGGTCTTAATTCTCTCTTCTTCAAAATAAATATTGTCATATTCTTTAAGCTAAAATCAAATATGTGAAAAGTATTTAATAGAACCGAGATTGATAGTAAAGTCGTAGCTCACTTCACATACATCAGACCGATTATTTTCGTGGCAAGGTCAACGGAATGTTTTCCAAAGGATCATTTCAATTGACCATTCTGGTTTTCATTCTCATGAATGACAAAACAACGACAGCGCAGAGTCCATGCACGAACGCTAATTATCAAGATACTACGCTGAAATTATTGAAAGATCAAGCAATTGGACATTCCTTCATGGATTTAACATCGTAAATAATTACTTTCTTGAATGATAAATATCATCGAATTGTTTGAAAATAATTTTAGTTACGGTCAGGACAGAATCCTTCTCAACCGTTTCGAAGCATCCGATGTGGTTCTTAGTCCTGATGGGCACTATGTGTATGTTGTATTCGATAACATCTACCAAATCGGTGCTTTCTGCACGCCGTTGGGACGGTTATCCAATTGTACGGATCAATTATTTTCTTGGCCCAATGCATCACTCAACAGTCAAGATTCGAGTTTTGAAGGAATAGCTTACGAACCAGTGAACGGAAGATATTTCGTTGTGCAAGAAACAGTACCAACAAATGCGAAAGGAATATTTCGTTCAAATATTTTTGAATTAAGCATTGCCATGAACCGAGCTCAACCTTTACAGCAAGTTGATTCCTGTGTAGTCAGTTGGACGTTTGGATCGAAAAACAAAGGCTTCGAAGGTTTAGAAGCTGTCTACCACCAACGTACAGGTCAAACTTATCTGCTAGCATTGTGTGAAGCAAATAAATGTGATCATAAATCGAATTCAACCAACGACGGACGTATTGTTGTTCTTGAAAAGAAGAGAACAACTGATGGTAATTAAGATTGTTGTCGAAAGAATCTCATAAAAGCATAATCTTTTCCAGGTGTATGCTCATGGGAGCCCATGGGTACATTTGACCTGCCATCATCAGTTCGTTTCAGTGACTATTCAGCTATGTCAATTTATCCTTCAAAAACAAAGCAATTACCCACATACATAGCTGTGGTCAGTCAAACAAACAGTCAATTATGGATCGGTCGTATTGATGAAATCGATGAAAGGCCTTATTTTGACGTATCAAAATTGAAGAAAAGTGTAGTATATGACTTTCCACGATCGACGGAAACGGCTTCTGAATGTCAAATCAAATATTGTAATGTTGAAGGTGTAGCATGGCAAGGCAAGAATCAGCTCGTTCTAGTTTCCGACAAGGCGAAGGATGATCAAGATATTCATTGTATTGAGAAAGATCAAAGCATTCATTATTTTGCTTTACCAGACAATCTAAGCAAATAAAAACGATTTTGCTGATTTATAGATTTCACTTCATCTCTGATCGGTTTCATAAATATGTGTTAAAGAGCATAGATTCTTTTGTCGTTCTACATTTTTCATCAATACCACACACAAGGTGAGTATCTGTCGTTCTTGACGTGCGTATACGTGTTGTGTTGATGATAGAGAAAGGAGAAAACAAAAAAATATGCGTATATTCTTCGCGTCTTTCTTCATCGATAGAAGATAGTGTTATGATGAATATCAATCTATTCAAATGATACTAAAGTGAGTGTTTTCATTCGCTTCTCTCCCTCGATCGTACATAAGTATAGAGACAAGACCACGTGGGTACCTTATCCTAAATTATTCGATAGGCAGAGTAACAAACCTGAACGATATCGATACAAAATTATAACGTCTCATTTGCCTTGCGCTTCTCCTGATGAATATGTTTTTTTTAAAGAAAAATCGAGTCACCGTCTCATGCGTTTCTTTTTTTTTCTAGTGTAGATTTGCTCACAATCATCTTGACATGGAGGCGATGTATTGGCAAAAAGTTCGTGATACATTCATGCAAGGAATAGGAGTTTTAGCTGCCAGTTTAGCTTTAGCTGGTATTAACGCATCCAATAATGAATTCAACGGTCGACTTATTGATCGTTACCGTTGTTCGAAACTATTTACCGATTATATGTTTGTTCGTCGATTTTACATTCATGAAACATTGATTCGCCATAACTTTGTGGTTTTCCAAACGGATACACGTCATACTTTCAAAGTTCATCTAATTGCTGACATTTATTCTGGACGACGTTATTCACCAGTTTATGTTGATATTGTACCAACTTACTGGAAGCCAACTGGTAGACGTGTGAGAAGGTGTAATAAGAACGCTCGAGGTTTGAAAAATTTCGTCAAACGTGAAGTTCAGAAATTTGGTGATTACGAGGTAGGAATCAATGACTGTCGACATTTCGCGCGAGCTGTAGCAGCATATCTATCCCATTAATTGTTTTCTTACTTACTTTACTTGCCTGCTGTGCAAACGTTCATTTAAAACTGAATAAACGAATAGGTAATACTCACGTATCCAGAATCTATCTTTACATATCAATGGTATCGATGTGCGTGTTGTTGTCTCACTACATCACTGCATGGAAAATATTTATACGCTTTTGAATATTTGGTCACTAGCGATTCTTAAAAGCGGTAACCAGATTAAATTCAATATAAGTGAATCGATACGGAGGAGAAAGTCTTATCAAATCACATTATTAATCGTATGTGTTTTATACTAAGCGCTCGTTAAGTGCTTCTAAGATCTTACAAATGGATGTACACAACAACGTCCGTTATTCTTTTCTTTAAATGTTTAGCCTCTATGAGCTGTTAAATAAACAAACCATTCCATGGTATTTGGAATGATTAACCTCTTTTCGAAAAATAATCATAGTCATAAACTGTGTCATTTGTCAAGGTGACCCCAGACAATCCTTTTGAATTGCGTCGTCCATAAATTTTCCATGCACCGACACTCGTCTTCAAAGCATAGTTCCCATAAATTGGAACTTATTACTTAAGTGCTTTATTTTGAAAGTAAAGTTCACGAAGAAGATGTCTTCCTCACTTTCAATTGGGTTTAAAGTATGATGAGACAGTTCGAGAGGATAGGAACTTTTTACTACTTCTAATAACCATATTTCAGAAAAATGATATTATCAATAACTAAGTTAATCTTTATCGTGCTTGTCACTGACATTGAATATACTTAGGGCATACCAAAAGTAGTGGCAACGACACTTTTTTAGTAACAACCGCTGGTACTGGAGTTCCTGGAAACATATTGAATACACTGGGTATAACGGATGGACTAGCCATTGATTCTCAAAGAAATATCTGTATCGTTTGCCATGGCAATGATCATGTAATGAAATGCTACTTCTGGTACGACCATTGCAGGTATCACAAGCGTATAGCGGGAAACAATAGCGCGACATTCAGTGAACCGTTTTCAGTATACCTTGACGAAGCCAATTCTTATATGTATATTGCCGCTTTAGGAAATAATAGAATACAATGATTTCAACTGGGTACCTGGGGAAACGGACAAGGCTCGCATAGTAATTAACTTGACTATCCTTACTATCTGTGTGTTTCAAAGAAAACAGGTGACATATACATCGAAGACACAATTAATAATCGAATTCAACACTAGAGTTCGGGAGTAACAAGTGTTGTAGTTAGCGATGGTTAGTGTGAACGGCGTGTGCGGTGCAACTTCGACTTTACATGTACGGAGCCACTTATGTCATTTTAAATATGAACGAAACTTTTATATATGTGAGCGTCGTATGAGATAGGCGAGTATAATGGTATCAACTAGTATGATCGAATCATGAACATCAATACTGCATGCAATAATTCAGTTGTGTATATTTATGTGCATTTCTGTTGCTTTTTTGCTTTATCATCCTTCGCTTATTCTGGTTGATTTCGAAGTATTGAAGGACTTATGCTTTCTTTTAAAATACAGATGCCATTTATTCCCATGAACAGAGAAATAAAATCGATATAGTCATTTTCTAGTATCACTGCCAATCGACTATTGCTTTAGATAATAGGTATGTATTCAATATTCATTTTGATATTTAGTGTCACTTCCATTTCAATTGTGACAACTTCATCGGTGTGTCCAATTGGAGCTTCGTTTCCCGAATGGATGATCGGTTATTTTCACGCCGAATTTGCCGACGGTACATCGGCAAACGCTCGATTCGGCAGATGGTTCGCCAATGTAACATTCTCCACTGGCGAACACGGAACTTTAACTATGCCAACACCTCTTCAACAAATAGGTGATACTTACGTTTTTCACGAATGCGTACAAGTTTATGGCGATGAACCAGCATTACGCTGCTCGCTTTTAGTACGCAATGGTACTGGTTATACAGAATATATTCACAAAAATCCAGATTTAATTCCTGTTTGTCCTCAGACAATCACGTCACCCGATCTTGAATTAGAAATCGTCACTCGAATCGATTAGAAGGACATCTCGTCTTGAATTTCCAACATTCTCAATAAACTGAATATTTGTACGAATAAATGTCATTTTATTAGTTTATTCAATCATCAAAGAAAAGAATCCGTGCATACAAATGCATGTGTTGAAAACGTGACAGAAAACATAAATAGCAAAACTTTTTCTCACACCAATCTATCAGAGAAAGAAGGCCGGCAGAAGGTTAATAGTTTTAATTTAAACCTATTCTATAGAGTACAATATCGAATGGTTCTAGAGTAAAATAAATGAAACATTGTCTTTCATGCGTTACGAATGAACCGAAACTGCGACCCACAATACTAAAATGAGAAACATGTAGCATGATAGCTATAGTCAAATTGCTATTTACCAGTGCCATGTTCCATTGTAATGTTTATCGAACTCCTTTTTTATGTGACTAGCAACCTCCTTTTCGTTATTACAAACATCAAATGCCTCCGCTGCAACATCGACTGAGAAGAAACAAACAAGTTTTCATATTAACTATCGGAACAAAGTTCACATACCTGCTCTTTGTTCCATTTCTGGTGACATTTCAGAACTCTTTATATTGGCTCTTCTTGCCGTGATTAAGCCAGGCATTATATATCCGTATATCTACGAAAAAAATCGCATTAAAATGGTTTTCAAAAAACTCAGGAATTTATTCACAGACTGTAAACTATGACGATAACAAAGAAAAAAGTGAATATCAGTCGCCGTTTTTGTTATATAAAAAAGAACGGTGAGGCTTAGAGAGGTAGATAGAAGAAGATAAATCTACTATCTTTTCTTGCAGCCACACGTGGACTTGGAGAAAGAGAGATGAAGAGCAAATAATAGAAGAATAAACCGCGATATGCAAGCAAATTCTACACATACTATTGCGATAATAACTACTAAACAGAACAACCACGTCCTTGTCATGTATAATGCACAAATATCTAAACAGGAAAAACCTCCATTCCTTTGTCAGGTTGCCAAGCAAACTCGCGTATCAAAAAACAATACAATTTTTATTTGCTGTCAAAGAAAATTGAGACGATTTTACAGAATGTATAAGGAATATTAAAACATACTGTTCTATTTTTTTCCACCGCAAAATCTCGAAGATTTGTCTTCGAACATCGTATATTCTTCAGCTAATGAAATTCTTAATAGAAATTATCAACAATTGTTTTAATTTCGATTAAATCAATGTATGATTACATGTACCAATATCCACACCTACAGCCTCAATCATCTCAGTCGCATTGAAAAGTTCATCTTGTCAATACTATAAAAGAAAAACTCAAGACTCTTTTTTTCCAACTTGTGATTCTTATAAAAACAGAAACAAAAGAAAATAAGACACGCCTGCCTGATTCACGCACACACACAAATACAGCAAACACTTTGTGGCAAAACTAATTCAATGGCTGCTGATCGACAGTACGCTTTGCTTGAGTTCTGCTTGTTTCTCAAGTGTTTTTATTATTTATTCGTTCCGTTCTTTGTTTTCCTTTTTCGGATTTATGCAATTAAAAGCTCCACTTTGTCATGTTTCATACCGAAAAGTTTGCGCTAAAGAAATAACGAAATACAAAAACTGTCTCTTTTTATTCAGATTTTACGAAGCAAGTGAAGAGACAATGGTAGATGAAAAACTAACGATAATACCCAAACTACCGCGTGTTGACTTACATCAGATGCAAAGTGTCGTTATTGTCTGGTTGAACGAATACATAGATACCAATGACGAATATTACCAACACACCATTGCATCAATACATTTACCGATAATGATGAATGCATTGATTTTATCTTAACCATTACCGACACTAGAGTATTTCTGGTAGGTAAAGAGCGTTTTTACCGATGTAGCATCGCTCTGTGAAAGCATCAAGCGAGCATTTCATCAAACTGAACAGAATAGCATGCCAATCAGCTTTGTTGAGTCCGGTAAGAGGCTAGATCAATTAGAACCATCATTTATGTACACACAAATTATCAAAGAGATCTTATTGACGATCGACTTTGACGATAACCACGTTAAAAAGTTCATCGAGTTTTGTCCTCGCCCATTTGTTGAAAAGAAGGAGGAGTTGGATAACATTGATGAGCTCGTGCGCAAATATCATCAGAAGTCGTCGATATGGTGGTATATTCGAGAAAGCAGTTTGTATTATATGCTCAATCGTGCTATCATTGTACAAATGGGCTTTTTCATCAATGATCTTCACCCGTCATATTGAACGTTTGCATAAGGAACAATTTGCTAGTCAGTCTTAGAGTCAAACCTTTACAGTATATCGCGCCCAGGGATTATCAAAATTGGATTTCGATCAAATGGTAAGGGTCAAAGGTGGACTGATGTCATTCAATAACTTTTTATCGACGAGTGAAACACGAGATATTCCTCTTATTCGTGCTGAAAGCAACGCAAGTAATCTTGATTTAGTGGGAGTGCTTTTCGCTATACAGATTCATTCTACCTCATCATCAACCTGTTTTGCACTCATTCGTAATTGTAGCTTCTTTGAAGATGAAGATGAAGTCCTGTTCTCCATGCACAGCGTATTTCGAATCCGCGACATTAAACAAATAGGCACGAATAATAACCTTTACGAAGTGAATTTGGTACTGACTAATGATAATGACAAAGAATTGTGTATGCTTACTGACTTCATACGAAAAGAGAGCTTCCCAAATTTATCTGGATGGCACAGATTGAGTTTACTCCTGATTAAACTGAATCAAAACGAAAAGGCCCAAGAGATTACCGAAGTCTTATTGTATGAGTCACCTGTGGTAACATGGAGAAGGCACAACTCTATGGTCATATGAGCTGGATCAAAGCTAATCAAGGAAAATACGAGCAAGCATTAGAATTTGGTAAGAAGCCATTGTTTATAAAGCAAAAAGCTGGTCCACAGAATCGTCTTGATTTGGCTACATCCTACAATAACATGGGCATCATATACGTTCACATCGGCGACTATTCACAAGCAATGTCATTTTATGAACAAGCTCTTGCCATTCAGCAAAATTTACTACCTTCGAATCATCTTGAATTGGCTACATCTTACAACAATGTTGGTTGGGTACACGATCGTACAGGTAACTATTCAAAAGCACTCTTATTCTACGAACAAGCCCTTGTAATAGAAGAGCAATCACTCCCGCACAATCATCCTGAATTGGCCATATCATACAATGATATCGGTAGTGTATACTACAATATGGGTAACTACTCAAAATCACTATCATTATTTGAAGAAGCTCTTACAATTCAACTCCAATCACTTTCACATGATCATCCTCTTCTAGCCATACAATACAGCAACATAGGTAGCATATATAGCCACATGAGGAACTATACGAAAGCGCTCACATACTATGAAAGAGCTCTGTCAATCCAACAATCATCACTTCCACATAATTACCCTCAGCTAGCTGCTTACTTCAGCAATATTGGCAGCGTGTATGATAGCATGGGCAACTTTCCAAAAGCGCTCTCATACTACGAGAATGCCCTTGCAACTCAACTGCAGCTATTTCCACACCATCGCCCTCATTTGGCAATGCTTCACAGCAATATTGGTAGCGTATATGATAGCATGGGTGACTATCCAAAAGCACTGTCATTTTATGAAAAAGCTGGTGAAATTCAGCAGGCATCACTTCCACAAACTCATCCTGATTTAGAAAAATCTTATAACAAAATCGCTGACATTCATATCAAGATGGAATGCTATTCAAAAGCATTAGAATCTTACAAACGGGTTGTTGAAATTCGGGAACAAACACAGCCACGGAGTAATTCTGACTTAGCTGCATCTTACAACAATATCGGTAGTGTGTATGCACTTATGTCTGATTGTCGAAATGCACTTTTATTTCATGAGAAATCACTCCAAATTCGACAGAGATCATTTCCACCAAATCATCTTGATTTATCCGTGTCCTACAATAACATCGCCGTAGTGTATGAATTCATAGAAAATAACTACGCTAAAGCGCTCACATACTATGAAAAAGCTGTGCATATCAGACAACAATCAATTTCAGCTAATCATCCAGACCTTCAGCAACAGAGAAAAAATGTAGAACGCGTAAAACAAAAGCTGTAAAATGATAGTGTGTGAGGATGTCAATCGTATCGTTTATTTTGTAATAAAATACAAATATTATCCTCAGTATATAATGAAATGAGCGATTAGGGGAGGGTGTGGGTATATGTATAAGTGGAACTAAATCTATTTCTCTTCCTATGTAGTCGCTTGTTATAAGAGTGACATAGAGATCTAATTATATTTGAATTGATATTAGCCTGACGGGGGTCGAATTAGGCATCTCATAGTTGCACATGAGTCATGGGCAAGTCAAAAGCGGACCATTATTGTTAAAAGGCGAAGAATGGTGGTAAATGGGTACCATTATCGATAAAAACAGGAGATCTCTAGCGATCAGCCTCTTTGAGAGATATTATTTCATTTATTGTAGACCTTTCCGTTATAAAACGTGTGTGCTTTTCATTATTTAATAAATAAGAGTGAATAAATCATAACGCACAAAATTTTAGATGGTTTCATCACCAACTAATGTTGTGATAGTTGGTGCAAAAGAGCTGAGATAGAGATAGGAGGGGACGCGACCATCTCGCTGCAATCTGATCGCAATCGAACACGTGGGTAGATAAGTAGCGCATCCATATGATAGATACATTAACTTGCCATCAGAAGAAAATCCTTCTCGTGGGCGTACCAAAGAGTGCTCAGGTCAACCTATCCCATACTCGGTTCTGAGACACGGAATTTGTGAATTTTCTTAGGGCCATCATAGAGTATAGCCAAAAAGAACGCTAATAAAATTCAGAATAAATGACTGGTTTTCTCCAGTCGGAATCCGATCGGATTTTTCAGAAACGTCGCATTCGCCAACCTGGGTGGAGCAATTTTAACGTTCACACCCTCAAGATATCACTTGATACTATAAACGCCATTCGTACCACATTTTACAGTCGCTTTTTCCACCAGGTGCGATGATTAGTTTACCTAACCACTCGGTCAACTCATTGAACATCACTATCCCATTTTTATTTAAATTCTTCTACTAAGATTAAATATGATGGTCTATCCGATCGATGATGATAAATCTTTTCATTTAGTGTAATATGTTTCATTTACGACGTAGAAGGTTTATAAAAATCTTTGAATTATTATTAGTATTTTTATCTATTCTACTGTTTCATCAAGGTTTCTGAAATATTGATGCTGTTAATGTCATTGGATATTACTTCATGACGCTACCTTCCACATGGTTGTTTTCTTCCATTTCTATACACATATACATATATATGTGTGTTCTTTTTCTCTTTCTTTCCTGTCGTTTTTAGTTTTTGTTTGATCATCATGTCCGTTCTCATGATGATCTCTGTGATTGTATTTCTTCTTTGTTTTCTTCTTTTTCTATTTTTTTTTCTCAGATCATCTTCGATCTGTATATATGTTGTTGTTTTTCTCTTTTCTATCAGTCCTTCGTTATCATTTTCTTTAGTGTTTTATTTGATTTCACCCAATAAAACACCCTTATCATCTCATCCACATCCATCCTCTTCATCTTTCATCCCTTCCAGTCACCTCAGGTAGGTTCAGCGACGAGAGTCTTGATCTTACATCAGACCATTCGTTCGATTAGGCGATTCAGGTTAGGATATAGTCGGTAGCTGGAGGTTTCATCACATCCCCCGATACAAGAGACTCCCACATGCTAATGATGAATTGTATATAAATAAAAAGCTGCCTTTATTTATATTAACACGGATGATTATTGTCGTTCAGATGAATGATCTATTTTCATAAAAAGTAAATTATATAGAAGATATATTCATTAAAATGTTTAGTTGATAAACCACAATATTGAGTAGTTATAAAAAGTCTAACTATATTTTTATTAGAATTCAGAATATACGTAATATATGTAATTCAATACTTGGAAATACATGTACCTACGATTAAAAGATATCAAAATTTTATCGATCGAAAGAATTTGATCCGTATTAATATTATCTATGAATCTCTACTATCTCATGAATATTATAAACAGTCATCGTAGCAAGAGCCATCTAATAAAATAACACATATTATACACGATATTATCTTTTTTTACATGGGGCCCCAGGGTAAACTATTGTCTATTTAGATTTCATGTTGATATAACTTAATGGGCACTTTCCTTATAATTCAGCTGGTCGAATTATTTCACCTTAAATTTATTTCGCGTTAGCGCATAAAGTAAACAGTGATACTAATTATTTTTTATCTTTATATCGAAAGTAAACTTTAATCGGAATGAAACACCGTTCGAGTTCTTTTTCATTCGATATAAGCAAGCAGTCTGAAACAAGCTTTAAGCATTGTTAAAACATGTCATTCGCATGTATTCAAAAGAATATCATAAGTTCCACTAGATTCATCTACATCGATCATATCTTTACGTCCATCATTATTCAAATCTGTAATACTAATCCAACCACTTCGATCAACAATGCTTGTGGTATGCACCGTTTGTAATTCATAGTTTCCGTTTCCATCTCCTATCAATACATTTATTTCACGACCTGTTCGACCAAAACCAATATCTAGAAACTGATCGCCATTAAAATCATTGACAAATAATTCATAATTTGGTGTATCGCCTATATAAAACACCTTTGTTTCGCCTAAAGATCCATTACCATAACCAAACATCACATTGATATAATCTCTGTTAGCATAAGATATAGCGACATCTGCTAGAGAGTCGTTGTTAAAATTACCAACTACAAAAGACTCCGAAAAGTGAAGGCCGGGATTTGGAGAAATCTTTTGCTCTTGAAATGTTCCATTACCGTATCCAAGAAAAATACCAATACTTTTACTATATTGCAGGAGCACAGAGATATCTAGATAACCATCGAGATTAAAATCAGCAACTACCATTTTTATTGGACTGCTTTTAACACCCGAGTCGTATCTTTTAAATCGTGCAAATTTTCCGTTACATTGTCCAAATATTACACCAAGATAATTATCAAGATCAAGAAATATAGAAGAAACATAGGTGTAGGCAATATCCATACATGTATCCCCATCCAAGTCAGCTGTAATTATCGTTTTGGTATCGGTTCCGATGATATGATAAAAGGCGCGATCAAAACGGCCACGATCTTCTTGCAAATCCACAGTCAATACGCCATGTAATTTACTGAAAATTATTCGATCGAGTCGATTATCATTATTGAAATCAGCAAAAAGAAATTGTGTTACATTCAGTTTAAAATCATTGTAAACTATTTCTGTTTCAAATCTTCCAAAACCATTACCCATGTACAAAGACAAACTATTTTTCTCCACATTAAGTAACGCGAGATCCATTCCACCATCATTATTCAAATCACCAATGAAATGCTGTTTTTTCATAAACAGAGGGAATTTCTTAGCAATTCTTATTGGTTGAAATATTATCTTGCATAGTGTTTCTATAAGGAAATGAAACAAACGTGGAAACCTTGTATTTTATCTTGACGATGTACGGGTCTAAGAATAAACTCTGATAGCTTCTCATTACGTACCGTATTTAGTTGTAGTTTTCGTCGGTACAGTCGTGATTGAAGTTGTACTGAAGCGACTTGTCATCGTTATCATTGAAGTTGCTACGAAAAGTTCGACAAATATTGAATTCAGTGTACATATTCTATCGATGATCAAGAAAACATACTTGTTATTATTGATAATTTCGTATGCGCTTTTTGTTGAACAATATAAATGGAAAATACAATTATAGCTGCTATTATTGACAACAATAATACGAATATGATGATGCCTTTGAAAAAACATCGATTTATTCTGAAGAAAACGTACTGAGATATTAAATTTCTGTCTGAAACATTTTTTGTACTAATATTTTCAACAGATATTGGTTCAACTGTGCATGTAGAATGTACAATTGTTCTTTGTCGCTTTCGATATTGATATATGTTGACTATAATTGGGACGATTTTAGGACAAATCCATTGAAGAACGATTGATAGACCAGATTGAAGACTGAGTAAAATACCTACGATATGAAAAAGTTTAAATTTTTGAATATAAGTATAAGAACATGATAAAGGTGAACATTGATCATAATACAATGAATAATCAATTGTTGTCTGCCATTTTTCAACAAACAAATTATCGATAAGTACAGCAATAGTTGTGTTAATCGAAAATCGACTATTGATTGCTGAGAGAGGATTGAGAGAATTCGACGATTTATTTTCACGTCTTGGATTCATATATTGTACAATTAAATCAATGCATGATTTATTATAGAAACATTCAAGTGTAGAAGCACGAAATGATTCACTTGGAATACATCCCATTTTTATACCTGGAATTACGATTGGTTCTAATGAATTTACTACATTAAAAGTAGCTTGAGTTGTGCAATTCGAAGACAATCCACATGAACAGACATTGTCATAGATCATAGGTTTACTCGGCAGATAACTGCCCATGAGATTCTCTTGTGAAAGAGAATAATGAAAATTTGTTCCATAATTTGATATGACAGCATTTCCTTGGTTGAGATTCCGAATTAACAAAAGAAGACGAGTGAATGCAATTGGAATACTTGATTGTTTCTGTTGGATTGTTAAATTAAGGCGTGCATCAAAATTTGCTTTTGATAAAAGTTCAGCAGTGGTAAATAATGAGAAACGAAATTGTTCAATAGTAATGTTTATTGTTTGGCTAGAAAGTTGACATAATCCTTGAAGGAATTGTAAATGAGCATTAAGGAAACTACTATAGTCTTTAACAAATAACGTTAGTGCTGAAATAGTATCATCTGTAAGTATACTTCGTCCTATATTCGAAGCGAATGGGCTCGAACAGACCTGTAATCAAAATAGATTCGTTTACAACGCGGTTAAAAATATGCCTATGTACAAACATAGAATCTTTACCTCGTGAAACATCGTCTCTATTTTGACGAATCGATCGTATGGTGATGCAATTGATGAACACATACATTTTAGTTCATCTCCATATCGTTGGTAAAGTTCATTATATTTCTGAAGATACGGTCTCTCAAAAGTTTTCGTATGCTTTGTAGGTTGTACACCATTGTAGATAGCGAGAATAATAAGAATAGTAGAAAATAAAATAAAATACAAACGAGTAGCCGATTGTCCTAGATGCTTAGCTCTTGCTTGATCGGTATTGCTACCAAAACTGTGTATGGGGAAAATATTTAAATCTTTCACAAGCGTGCATAAACGTGTGAACAGTTTTTCCAAAATTGTTTTGAATTGTTTGAATCGGTTGAAACGAACTATTCATAAGAAAATAAATACGATGTGTTTTTTTATTTATATCGGAAAATGTCTTCAAGAGTTTTCTTTTGATTATCGAGTTCGTCCTATGTATTTGTTTCTAACTCGGAAAACTAACTTTCGAAGATAGTATGAATCAAGGATTACTTTGTTGTTGCCGTTCTTTTCTAATAGTGTTTTTACATAAAAAAAAGAAACACTTCACTAACAGAGGTGTAATCAGTCGTAATGAAATAATTAATCCACCAATTATTGATATAAATTTCATTAATAGTTCACTGGGTTTTGAGCGAACTTTTGCTAAATAAGTACAATGATTTGGTGCACATGATTTATAAAATGAATCGTATGAATAAGATGAATTCCATTGTTCAATGAAGATGTTCTTAAGGATTGCTGAAATCGAAGTATTTGGAGAGAAACGACTTGATTGTGAATTGTAAATAAGAGGACGAATATCAAACCACGATGAATGTTGAACACTATCATGATATATTTGTTTACTATAGTTCATTACGATGGATAAACAATTCAAATTTGAATAATAACATTCCAGTGTTGAAAGTAAAAGTGATTCAGTAGCTGTACATCCTGCAAATGAGCCAGGTACCGTATACCATTTCGTATGATTAGGTTTAAGTGTCCAGCCACGATTAGTTTCGTAAATACTGAGTGGAATTCGGCAGTTAATATCAACAGCACAAACGCAACTGATAGATTCTTGTCTAGTGCTGAAAGGTCCAGTCAAATTGAAATATAACTAGCAAGAAAGTCAACATTAATCAGTTTTATAGGATCTATTAGAAAAACACTTTCACATACCGAGATCATTGTTGGTGAGAGTAATGAAAATGGATTTCCTTCTCCAACGCGTTTGCCATAACCTCCCATGGGGCCAGAGTATGGCTGATCGACTTGCATAAGAAGTCGTTCTGTTTCGATAAGAAGACTAAATGAGTCATTTGTTGATCGAAAAAAACCTGTAAGGGTCGAATTGATTTGAAAATCAAAATCGTTTTTCGACAGTATATTGGAAACAACAAATGGTTGCAGAAAAAAATGACTAATCGCTTCGGCAACCATTTTTTTAGCCAATTTACAAAGATCAGATAATAAACGAAATTTGTTAAAAGCTCGATTACGCCAATCGGGAACATTATACCCAGTTTTAACATATCTTAACAAGAAAATCCATTCTTCTTTCACAAAATCACTTGAACATATTTGATGAAAGATTGGGGACAATGTAATAAAATTCTGATGAGATATTATCATACTGGAACATGGACATGTAAGCGTCTGGGAATATGTCGCATATAAATTGTTATATGTTGACAATGATGGATCCGTTTCTTTTACTGTAGCTAATTCAGGACTTATGAATGTTAAGAGAATAATAATACTGCAGGAACCTCAAAAGCAAAAAAGAAATAAACAACGGTGGATGACAATGTTATCTATCATGATTTTGATATTTAACGATAGAGAAGACATACTTGTTAGCAGAATTAGATAGATGATGGTGGTAGTCTTTTGTATTTTAATATCGTTGTCTGTTCGGCATTTAAAATTCTTGAATAGATTTACTTGTTTGATATAGCGACTGAGTTTATGTGCAGATGTTCTTTGAATGACTAAAATTCAAATATAAAGTATACGAGGGAAATCAAATAATAAATACCATGAGAGACATTGGTATTTCGCGAATAACACTTCAGTTTCCAGTAGATATTGATTAGAAATAATACGATGCAACGAAATATAATAGTAAGACCCCCATAGAGACCAATAAATAAAGTAACTGCATAAAAAAAATTAATTGATTCAGACGTAGTGTATGTGCAGACTGAAGGAGCACATTCATCGAAATATTTTGGATAATTGATTTCTGTTGACCATTCTTCAATGAAAAGATTAACTAAATGATCTTTTACGGCCATATTTTGTTGCTTTGAATTTGGCATTGGAGCAAGCGGTTTCAAAGACGTCTAAATCACAACATTTACATGAAAGAAATCGAATTCTATTATACATACTCGATTAATGCCTGGGAATTTAGTTGCCAATAATTTAAGACATTCCATGCTATATAAACAATCAAGTGTACTTTGAAGAATGGCTTCAAGAGAAGTGCATCCTGTAAAAAATCCATGAACTAATGGCTGATTTGATTGTGGACTTGACCATATCATACGAATTTGATACTGTGAATTATTAAAGATAGAAAAGAAGCCAACAGCACTTGTTGGATTTGTATTACTACAATCCATGACTACTTGCGCCGTTGAACTTTCCAAGCGTGACTTAGAATATGATATTTCGCTAGTGTAAAATCTATATGCACGGTCTTCATAATCAACTAGAAATAGAAGATTTGTATTCAGAGCAGACATTAAGAAATTTGTTTGCATAGTAGTTCGAAGGTAATTGAAGAATGTAATGATTTGAATAGATGTGTTACTTTTGAAGAATTCAATAGTGCCATCCACTTTTGATCGAACTTGATTTTCATGAAGAACATCTCTGTAGACAAACTGATTGTGGTCTAAATCCATTAGTTTTTGAGAGGCGGCACCTTGAGAGATCGAACAAAGAGTAGCCAAAAGTTGAAACTAAACGAATATATAGTTGATCTTATGTTCACTGAATTAAATTCATTCAAAAGACATATACTTACTTGAGAACTAGCTGTTGATCGAAAATCACCTGTTCCATAAGTGCTGGCATCTTTTAAATATAATTCTTCAATCCATTGTTGACTGACAAAACGACTTAAACAAACAGGATGATATTTGATCGTATGAAATACGAAGCTTTTGAACGGTATTGACATTGTTGAGCATGGACACGAAAGAGTATCAATATATGTATTGTTTAGTTGAACAAATGTGTCAGAAGAAACGTTGTGAATAGAAACCGTTGACGAATACGATGTCATGAGAGCAGAAAAGAAAAGAAGATAAAGTGCACCTGTGAAGAAATACAGACGAGCAAACCTTAACTTTCTATTTGTATGAATTGTGAAAAATCATCTTGCATATTAAATCTATGTGCTCTTCAATACGATTATAATACTATCTTACATACCCGCGAGAAGTACAGTATACAGCCAAGTTGCATATTTTTGCTTTTTGAGAGTGGCTGCTGGATCGTCTTGTTCATTATCATCATCATTATATTCATTTTCTCCTGGTATAAAAGTATTGTAATCATATATTTGTTTGTAAAACCAATGAAATAGTGCTTTAAGTTTCATCATTCCGATATATGATCGAAATCGACGAATCAATCTTCTGCGAAATAGTACTTATATTTTGTTCTAAAAAAAAAGAAGCTTATTGTATTTCTATACACAAAAGTAGATTTATGTTTTGTAAAATTTCCACTAACCACAAGTAAGCTTGTGCTTCGGTGACTAACTATAAATATGTTATAAAGAAGAAAGATTGTCTATCTGTCTATTCGCTATGGATTCAGTTCCTATAACACTTAGGATGAGGGTGGATACACCTTCGTGAAATTTTACCCGCATGGTTTTTTTGTCGCTCAGTGTTGTCAAACTTTCTACAATATTCGATGGGCTCAGAGAAAATTTGCAGTCATATGGATGCGTATATCGGAGAAGGAAGCAGAGGACTGGGTGACATTTTACCCAGTTTGTGTATACTGTTGTTGATAGTAATGTACCAGAGCTTTAAGAAAATTACGTAGGATTTGCAATGCTTTTTTCTCTATCTATCTGTTCAAGTTATGTAAGATTGTGGGAATGATAAAAAACGAAGACAAAGAGAGTGAAAGTGAAATCCGATAAATGTTTCTTAGCTTGCAGTGGGTGCCTCTGCTAGTTTCATACACATACGAGCATCATTGTTCAACTCATAGTAAGAAATAACTAATTTTGAATGATTAAATATGAAAAATTAACGTTAAAAAACATTGTGTTTATTCCATATGTCATTTGCACTTTTACGAAGAAAATGTTTGACCAAGATAAATACAGAACCATGAATATGCGCTTTGTGCACTAGTCTATTGTTCAAATAGATAAAATAAAAATAAATTCAAATTGTGATGTGATTACAGAAGATTTATGCTTGTTTTCATTACACAGATCGGTATGGCTTACGCTGTCGGAAGTATAGAATATAACATAATTCTAAAAAATACACTGTTCTTTTAGTTAATCTTCGCTGTAATTAAATTTCACATCTTTTTCAAAGAGCATTGACTGTCAATAGATTTTCACAGAGAAAATCATATTTCATGCTGAAAAAACAGTTTGCTTTCACATCCTGCTTAAATGTATTGACATTTCTACGTCATGTTTTATTATTACCGAGTGACTTATGCATCACACCTAGTTGAGTTGAGTGTTTTTTTTTGCGGTGTTTCCTGCAAATATTAATAATAAAATAAATGTCCGAAAAGACTTTTATGAATTGGACATAAGTTGAAAAGTGCATCACGAAATAAACTTCCGCCAGTAACTGTATAAATATAGAAAGATATTCCACTTGCTGTAAAATTCATTTATGTAACCAAATTAAAAATAAAATTCTCAATAGCACCCTGCACTGATTGAATCGATGAACTAGCAGCAATAGATGAATATGCTTTTTGAATAACATATTGACAGGTTAAAATAACTTACTTGAACAAAGAACGTTCTAAATAAATATCTGTTCATTCGTTAGTTATGTCCTTTTCGATTTATTATTGGTGAAACACTTATTGTAAACATAAAAATATTATGAATACGATTTTGTGTAAAGCAGAAAATGAAAGAATGAGCATAAAAATGACTTCAATTCGAAGCCAATTAGATTGAGATCTAAGTGAGAACGTTTATCTATTAGTTTCCTGATACTTTCAGAAAAGGATCAGCGAATCCAACAGATGAGTGCTACTTGTGATATAATACGAAACCTGTTTATTCTTTTGTAGACATCTGATACACTATGTCAGTTGGCCCGGTCATATCCTTGGATCAGTTAAATGCAAATGTCCTCTTATGATTTCTACGAAGCAATACTCTGTTGAAAATTGTTTAACCGTCATGAAAATAACTGGGAGAGCAACAAGAACAAGTTGATATTGGATTTAAAGCCGTACTTTAATGTTACACACTCTGAAGTGCAGTTATCTATATATTCATGTTTCAGTATTTATGCACTTTTGACAATTGGCCAGATTTCACAATATTTTACTGTTGAAACCGCTTTTACATGTATTGCCATTCTCAATTACTGTGTATACATTAATCGGAACCATATATCCAAGAATATGTCTTAGTACAAAAAAAATATTGTAATCGTGAATCAACATTATTCAGGCCTTTCAATTTCGATGGTAACTTTAATGTATTGGCGACTGAAGAATACCCTCCGTTAGGCAGAATCCGAAAACATTGTAATAGAGACAATAGCAAAAGATACAAATTGGATTATTCTATTGATACGTCCGTGACTAACAGATATTGGTTAACCTCTCATATGCATTCAAGCCAAAGTCCCTGTATAATACGCCATTTTTCTGTGCTACAATGTTTCATGATTAATACATTTATGTATAAAGACTGTTCAAAACTATATTTATTAGGTATTCTTTGCATGGGAGTGTTGATGTCATTTGAGAGAGACATCTAAACACTCACCCACGCCCTCACTCTACAGTGAATAAAGGATTAAAAAATGCTTGTGCGTTCCACTCTATACTATGTGAAGCTTTAGTAAATTCGGTTTTCGATTGGTAGATGTGATTATATACGTCTGGGTTGTCAATAGGGTATATTTCTTTTCTTTCGTTCACCATCGGTAACATAGACTGTTACATAAGCATAGCATAGTCGAAATGCAGCTGGTTTATCCACTTGACATTGCAAATAAATCGGTTCATCAGGTGTAGTATCAGTTGGTGCGATCTTAATATTATTTCCTTGTTGCTATTTAATAAAACAAAAGAATCATAAATTTTAGATATCAAATCTTGATGATACAGACGGATACGAAACGAGGAAACCATGTGCTACGTGAATATACACTCCACGTCACTTGATATTGTTCTATGCCTTTCACGTCACACTTGACTGTTACTTTTTCACCAGGTCCAATCACTATTTCACTCGGTCGCACACTCATTTCAATCCATTTTCGTTGCTCTTTTTGGTGTCGTGGTATAACATTGATGCGTAGTGTTCGTTGAGCTTCAAGATATGAATCACGAACAGTAACGTGATAGATACCAGTAAGATCAGTTGTGGCATGATGAAGAATGAGACGGTCTGGCTCAACTGTGAAAGTTAACGGCATTGGTTGATAGCCTTGATCGGTATATCTGTTCCAAAAGATTTGAACTGGTTCATCGGACTAGAAATAAGTCAATAAGATAGTTCTTTTTATTTCCTTGAAGATGTACAGACATCGATTGTATATAGAATAGTCTTATCTTCACCTTCTTGTAGATTGATTGACGGTTCAGGAATAGTTATTTTTGGTCGTTGACCTACAAAGACAGAGTAGAATAGCAAGCATCGTGAAACTGAACGTACCAAAAAATGAATGACGAGTTTGAATGGGCTGCACTTGGATTTCATAGGAAATATCAATGTGCGCACCGTCTGCTGTACGTAACTTGCAATGATAAATCCCAGAATCATTAGGGTGTGCCTTCCTGAGACGTAAATTATGATCGATTTGATAGACATTTGATGGAAGACGTTCATCATCACCATCACGTGTCCAATGAACAGAATCATATCCAGATGGAGACCAAATTAGTTGTCTCATACCTTCATTAATGAACAATGGACTTGGTGGATTAAATGCTAGAGAAACACTGTCACTGGGTTCTCCTTAAAGGATATCACTTCACTTAGTTTATTCTCTTTGATGCCTTTAATATAGTTACGTGTGAATGTAAGAGTACGCCGTGCTTCTCTATAAGTAGGATCGGCAACTGCACAGCGATACTCTCCTGAACACAATTTGGAAGCCGGATTGACACGAAGGATGTTTTGATCGAATTGAAATGGTTCCTCCTCAACAAGAAGCTGCAAGAAGAAAAAATATTTGGAATCTATAACAGTACAGACAACACATACACGATTATTGAGGTACCAGTTAATTCTTTTATTATTCGCACCAATACATTGAATCAGCACATCGTCGTCATCAATTGTATCTGGTGCAATAATCTGTAATATTTTAGTACCGGCACTGCACTATAACAGAAACTACGAATCACGTCGACATTCGTTCATTAAAAGGTGTTCTACCCAGGTTACAGACTGTTGATAATCAGCTATTTCTTCCATAGTGACAGTAGCAGTATTAGTACTTCCCGCTTCAGGTTCTGCTATACATTTATATTGACCAATGTTACCTCGATGAACAAGTGTAACTCGTATCGTGAGTATCACTTGTGATTCTGACACGATTCTGTCATCCGCAAGAGCAAACATGTATCGCTGAAATCGTGCAAAGATAAAGCAACACTTTGGTAAATACAATATGTAAGAATAGCATCTAGGAGTTTTACTCGTTCTGGCTGTTCTTGTATCCAATAGACATGTGTATCTGCAAGGGCGCCATGGACAATACAGGTTAGTTCGTAGTTTTTTCCAATTTGCACCCGGAGTGTGCTGGGAGTGACAACAACCTGTACATTGACGTGAGTGATGTTCTCTAAATATAGAATGACAAATGCTTCAACAGTATTGATCATCGACTGGACAAGTCTTTGTACCGCCGCTTTCATCGATCGTGTCTGAAAATACACGAGAAAAAGATTTAACAGTGAAAGGAAGTCAATGGGAACACCTGTAGCTGAACGATTATACCATGTCAACGTTTCTACACCAGTGGAAACAGTTGAACAATTTGTTTCATTTCGTATTGTGAACGATTCTTCATCGTACTCATCGACTGGTGTTGCTAAGATTGTGTGTAAAATGGTGAAATGCGTCAGAAAAATGAGGTATAGACACAGTATAGTTTGCATCTTTACATTCTCTTCCATTGTATACTACTGCTTATATCTTCAGAAATCTTTCGATGGAAGAATGGAAAAAAGTGCTTCTATCAGATAAGCTTTTTCTGTAACGTAGAGATATGTTGATTGCCAGTTTCATACTTTCCTTATACACAAGATCGTATTTATGATATCCACAATGATGCGATGATAGTATCTGACAATGTTAATAAGATCTACGCATTTTCAATTCGTCGTCGCAGAACACTTATGAGGCAGATCTCACCATAGATAAGAATGAAACACGAGTACTTTCTTGCATAATATAACCTTTAATTTGAAGTACTTCGACGTGACGTCTAACAAAAAAAAACTTTTCCTTGTACGTTTTTCCATATCTCTTTGCATCGCTCGACAAGATCCGGTCCACAAAGATCATGATTTTTCAGGATCAACTGTTTGAATGCTGCTCAATTTAATATTCTACGTTCTTACGGAGGAAAAAGAAAAAAATACACAAGTTGAATTCAACCGTTGGTGGAAGGATCGATTACAAAACTTCTAGCATGTATGCAGTTTACCTCAATCAGACCAACAAACTTTCATCTATCGTATGAATTCTCAATCGAACAAGCGGTCAGATTGATAAAGTCGTCGGATAAATTCTCAAAGATTTAAATACAGTTGCTACTTCATTGTTAGCGGATGACATCGTGCAAACTAGTCTTTATAAATCCATCCAATCAACTTGACATTTCACAGTTAGTATCTCTTATTCAAACTTAGGATATTTTTCTCCTAGGAAGTCAGTATCAATCCCATAATTGGCTTATTCAACCATTTGTTCATTGAAAACACAATCAGAAATTGTTTTATTTCGAAGATAACATTGACTCATTGAGTTCTGGATCGTTTACTTGCTTGTCGTCCTAATAAAACATTCATCATACAACTAACAAAGGTATTTTTCAAAGTCTTACCTGTCTTTCTGAAGAACAGATAAAAAGATTTCTCCATGATATTAACAGTTGCTCATCGACGGATTGTGAATCTTTCACACGACATGTTAACGATACAAAATAAGAAAGAACGACTACCAAGACAACGCCGTTCACGTTGTACCACAGAAATGACATTGAATATAGAGGTAGGAAAAAATTCTGTTCAGCAGTATTTTCATTTATCCTTGTTGACCGAGTTATGTTCAATGGAGGCGAGCATTCTTGAATTGATAAACTCAATCGGCCATCACTTCTAACCCGTTGTTTTATTGCCAAAGTCGACCCGATCAAAGTCCACATTTGAAATATTAAGCACAGAAAAAATGCAATTAAGATGCTCTAAAAATATATACAAAGAAACGTACAACTTTGATTAAACATCATCGTCACCATACCCGGCTATTCACACGTCGAAGAAAAAAGCCGACAAGATAAATACCAAGGATCGGCGCTGCAAATGATCCAGCAATTTGGAATACAATCTATCATCGTTCAGTTACAAAGAACAAAAGAAATTTAAAGATTCGTTACCACAAGCACATGATTTCCCATATGCGACATCAGATAAGCTTAAACATATGGTTAATACTCCCAGTGACACCGCTATAAAACGTAATGTCTTCACCCAATTCGATCGACTGATATGCACTTACATACAACTTTAGAAATAATCGTCTGCTGTTGATCGGATATTGTCGAAGATGTTTTAATTCGTTTATAAATATCTTCAACCATGACCGTAACTATACTATTGATTCCACTTGATATTGAGCTTAAGGATGCGTTTAGGATACAACTGATGAAAATGCCAGTTAAACCAGGAATTTTACCCAAAGTTTCAGTAACAAACAATGGGTATAACTAAAGTAGAGATCAACTGCAAGTTATGTTCTCCTTCTTCTAAATTTGACTTGATCAGCTTTCGATATGATCTTTGCTTGTAATGGATCACAACTTTGATACTTGCTGTAAAGCAAGAGTCCGACACATGCAGTAAGGAAGAGCATGAAGATAAACTGGAAACAATTGATCCAAGCAACTCTGCAAAAAGCGCATTTTAGTATCATCAACGAACCTGTCCTACTTTTTCGCTGATCGGAGATCTTTTACGCAGAGAAATCGTTGTGCTTGAATTTGAAGGCATGCAATTGCTGCTGTAAAATAAAGACCACCTCCACAAGTAATATTCCAGAATATGTACCGAATGAAAGGACTAATATAAAAACTGAAACAAACAAACATTTCAAATGAACTCATTCTGTGTCAATTCTAAAGTGATGTACTTGATCAAATTCAGTCTATCTCCTTGAATTGCCGTTTTGAATACTTTTTCGATTCCACCAGCATCCATAAAACCTATTCAAGTTGATTCCGTTACAATTCAATACAACTTGATCGGACATACTTACCGAAAACTATGGATAGCATAACTCCAAGGAACATCATAACAGTTTGTTTAACATCTGCCCAAATTACAGCTTTCATTCCACCCTAAGTTCGAGTCTTGCTTCATTCGAATTCAATAGAATACAGTCATACTTACAATACTTGTATAAAACGTACAAATCACTCCAGCAAATCCCACAATCATCCAAAGGCTCAAACCAGTTATTTGGCTCAATGCTAAACTTGGTCCACACAAAATAACGCCCATATATATAGGCTAAACGAATTAGAATAACAATAATTCATTTCCTATCGATTTTTCAACATTTAAGCTTACATAAATGATCATAAATATACTGGTCACACTGATACGAACGGATAGAGAAAATCGTTTCTCCAAATACTGAATTCATAGATCAACAGTTACACTTGTACATTTAATTTGAAGATATTTCGGTAAAAACAAATTCACAGTCAAATAGGTTCCAATTGTATAAGCAATTGCTAAAAGATACTCACAAAGTATTGCTCGTATGTAAATAAGTACCAAGAGATTCCTTACCATAGTAGAGATAAACCGACCCATAAGTGTAAATTTCCACAGGAGTACCAAGTAAAAATGCTGCTGACATTATACTGGCTAATAGACTCATGCTTGTTGATAATATCTGAAAGATCTTCGTGTTTGAAAACTTTTCTACAATCTTTATCGAACATAGTCACTTTCATTTCTCGGTTAGCTATGAAAAACTCATTGGTTGCTAATTGTCTGGTTCGAATACATCCGTGATAAACGCCAATGCTTATAGATAAACCTGTAAATTTTCCCCATTTATCGATAATACTATTCGACAATATCCCACTTACATAGAAATCCAATCAAAAAACCATAATCTATCCAACTAAGATACATGCTTGAATAAATCCAGTATGGAGTGACTTCCCCTTGTTGCGCTTTTAATGTCGATTAATAATATGCAAACAAAGCAACTGAATATATAGCTTCGAAAGACTATCGGAAAATTCCAAAGAAGAACAGAAAGGCGAACACCGATCAAAACGCTGATTAAACATTGTCCCGCCATTAGTCGAATCATAAAATAGACGAAACAAACCAGTCATATTGAGTGCAATCATTCTTCTTCCCAACAAGGATGAAAAAGTTCTATCGTATAGTGTTTTGCTGTATGTTTTCATAGTTCGATCTCGGTTTTAAAATAACTTTCTCTCTCAGAACCCCGTAGGTGCCGCTCTTTCAAATGCGATATTTTTTAAATAAAAATGAAAATGAAATTCATGAGAGATTACTCTAATTGCTAACACTAAATTCCTGTCATGGTGCATGCTTAAATGAATAGAAAATGAACTCGCACGCACTTCTATTCTTCGCATCACAACAAGAAAACAAGTTTTGATTGTGTTTTTTTTCTGATGACCTTCAACACCTGTGAATTGTTGTTGTGGTGGCTTCATTGTCGATCTTATGAAAATAGCATAATTAGCGAACGCAAATTCAAATTTGGATAAGGCAAATCATTTCTGATCTTTTGTTTATACACTACAGTTACCAACACAAAATATTTCTTCTAACATGACTTGAGAGCTCTGATCGATTGCATGGACAACATCAAATGAAACACTATTCATAATTTGGAGTCCTTTTTTTTTGAATAAGTCTATACTGCTTCACACATTGTGCTATAATTTTATATAAATTGCCCTGGACTAAAATCTTCTAGATCCAATCCTCCTGATTTAGACCACGCTGAAAATTCTCTATATCAGGTTCAGGCTGCAACGACAAACGCAACTGGTTTACATCCACATAGATTGTACCCTCGTAAGATTCATTACCTAAAAACCAAATCCCTGTCAAAATCTTTATCATCATTATTTTATGTATCATATAGAAATACATGTCGTTCATCATAAAGATAATGCGGTCATTCCTTTTATAAACAGATCCTAATTTAGAAATGAAAAAGTGACTACTGATATATTCTATCGCCTTCTGCTCTTGAAAAGCTTTTTTATCCACTGTATTACATGTAGATTTTTCATCAGTAGAAAGAAGCAAAAAAAATATTTACGATTAGGCGAAAGCTCAGTCCGCAGCTTATTTATGTGGATATGCAATTAAAGGTACGAAAAGCATATTGAATTTTTATTTATTCCGAAAAATTAAGACTTCGAGATCTTTTTATTTTTCACTTACTGAAGAGTCACCTGTTATGTCCAAAGATGTAAAGAGAATAGGCGCGTGTGTTCGTAAGGTCGGTTAGGACATAACTCGCTATACTTTTATTTTCAAACGTATATATGGAAGAGACAACAAAGGCAACACGAAAGAAACTACGGGGCTATATAGATGGCATGATATAACATATCATAACATCCTTCCCCGTCAAAGAAAGAAAGGTAGAAAATGACTACAAAAAAAAGAAAAATATCTGACAACATGAAAGAGGAAAAAAGGAGAAAAAGAAAGACGAAATTGACCAAGAAGACTCAAGTTACTATTACAAAAAAATGTGAAAACAAACAAGCAGAAACGAGAGAGAGAAAAATAGTACTGTTTGTTTTCATTACTTGAATCGGCGGTAATTTTTCATATCGAAGCAATACGAAGGTAGACTTCGTTCGTAACGATTTCGGTCTTCTTTGTTCTTGAGGCCGATAATCACTTGATCATCTTTGAACTTGAAATGGCGGATCTGAACACCATAATAGTTCAATACTCTACGCATCATCTTCGATGTGAACTTGTAGTAGTATTGTCGGACAATGATGTGCTTGTATCGAAGTTTTCGCAGGCCGATGTTCCTCTTCTTGTTCTTCCTTTTCTTGCTTTCGACCGATCGACTGTTCTTAATTCGACGATGTTCCATAGGTGGTTTTTCCACTTCATCGACGATCACAACGTGGTCATCAATCTCCTCCACCTCGTCGATAACCAAATTATGGTCATCAACTCCTTCCATCTGACTATTGATCTCATTGACCAGAATATCGTCTGCAGCGATTATTTCTGTTTCTTGAAAATGGTTTAGTTCCGATGGTATACGTTCTCGGTGATGAGAATCTTCCATAAATTCAGGTGATGAATCATCGTCCGATACTTCGTCCCGAAATGCGGCAAATGTTTCCAATGATGTATCGGTTAAAAGATCTTCCATGGATGTTGTGCGAAATTTTTCATATGTCCAGTTTTCGCGGATTGGACGAATAAAATACGACACGGCAAGGGTATCATATGTCGCATAACGTAATAATGCATTTAATTTTGTTGGATTAATATTCGAGTGAATCGGATCTAACAATCTACTCCAGTTTGACCTAGTATGGGATTTATCCAGAAATAATCGACGTGTATATCTAATCGCATTTTGAATAGACCACACCTCATCCGTTCCTATATGTGGTAACCAATTGCATTGACATCGATGAAGGATGTCCATTCCATCGGAACCGCAATCCTCACAAGGAGGCGGGTTCCTCTCTATCCATCCCTTGAATGTGTTCTGTACATTTATGTATTCACATGCTAAAGGGAAAGAAAACAAACGAAAAGGAAGGGCTTTCTCTAGCTCTTGTGCTAGAGAGCCCCAACCATATACTTCGTTGTTGGATTTAAATAATGATTTAAATAATACACGTATTTGTTCGAATAATTGTGTATCAATGTGTGGCAAGTGGTTGAGTTCTACTAGTATAACAAATCCAGGCAATGTCTTAGGTACCGTATTTATTTGAACAAGTGCAATTGCATTCGTGCTACATTCTGATTCAGTATCGATGCTGAATCTTCTACATCGATTTACATGATCAATAAGAAATGTCAATGTGTTCGGTGATACAAATCGATGTATGTGAAATGTTCGATAATATGATGAAGGCACTTGAAACGCTGGATATTGTCGTCCATATAAATAATTTTGTTTTTCTTTCCTCGCATTTCTAATCCAATTCGATCTTGATTTTCCTTTCAGATGGTCCGGTGGTGCATCTGGATCACGAATGTGGCTTGGTAGATGAAGATTCATTATGATGTATCAATCACTGAGCAAAAATGTATAGAACTAATCGAGTGCTAATCACTAGATAATCCCCATTACATCCCAAACGTTAACCATGATCCACCTGAAGAAATATATGATTGAGATCGAATGTAAACGACGATTGAGATCGAATGAGATCGATTGAAGGCGACGATTGAAATCGATTGTAAACGGCGATTGAGATCGAATGAAAATCACGATTGAGATCGAATGAAGGCGACGATTGAAATCGATTGTAAACGGCGATTGAGATCGAATGAGATTGATTGGAGGCGACGATTGAAATCGATTGTAAACGGCGATTGAGATCGAATGAAAATCACGATTGAGATCGAATGAGATCGATTGTGATCGAATGTAAACGACGATTGAGATCGATTGTGATCGAATGTAAACGACGATTGAGATCGATTGTGATCGATTGAAGGCGACGATTGAAACAACACACGACGAATTGACTACACCGATATATGTAACGTTAAACGACCATGACCGAGGAGGCACAGAAGATATTTCAATCAGTTGAGATCGTTGAATTGACGATAACTCGTCCACTGTAAGTTGTTCAGATCACCGGGATTAAATTTGTCGATCGATATATGTATAAACCAACCGAAAGTCCTTTGATATGATTGTAATCGAGTGGCCACGTGATTTCGAGGAGAGAGAGAGAAAAAAAAAAAATTTTTTAATCTAAATAAGAAATGGATAATACTCTAAAGAATAAATACCAAACGCCTAAATGATTCGATAACTATAGGCGATTGTTTTCATAATTGTGTGTAAACAATTGTTCGAGCATTTTGCATTATTTGTAAACAACAAACGCTCCATCTGCTTGATACTGATTTGGCCAATGGCTATCGGTCACTTCTGTGTCCGAATTTCCACTGCGTTGTTTTAACCATAGATGTCGTTGACCTATGTAGTCGCGTCTGATTATCTCAATGGGAGATTCCAGAAACATTTCCATTGTGGAACGTTTCCACTTTCACACATGATAATGATTAATATTGTCCTTATTAATGTTCCGCTGATACTTGATGGTAGAACTGATCGTTCAATGCGCGCATATTGAAATATCAATCCGTCCACTCACAGACGATGCTTGTTATCGTAAAATAATCGTTGGCCATACTTTTAATTCACTGTAACATAAACATCGCAACCCTAAATCAATTCCAACACCCATAAGTGGCGAAATTAATCAATAATGAATGATAATGATAAAATTAATGATAAATTAATCGATAAAAATACTTATAAAAATATTCATAAAGATTCCAAATGAGAGTATTGATGAAGTTCGATGTTTCCGCTCCCCATTGACTTCTTTTCTTCTTTAATTTGATCTTGTACTACAGATGGGTCGAATGTCGTTGACATGCACCCTTGTTTCCACTTGTGTTGATTCATCTTGAACGATGTAGACAGGATGATCTTCACGAATGATTATTTGTGGAGTAATCGAATATTTCGCATCCAATTTGCTCTTCAAACCATGTTTTCTTATTAAAACACGATCATTCAGTGAATAGTGTGGATCATTTCGTTGTGTATCGTAACGTGATTTGTACTGCTTCTGTTTGTTTATCATATTTTCACGTGCATTACGATGTATGATCTTCATATTCTTCTTCAATTGCTCATAGTAATCGTTCGGCTTTCGAAATGTAAATGTTGATGCAGGTTGATCCGTTGGTAATCTTGGTTCTCTGCCAAATAATAGCCGATATGGTGAATATCCAGTTGTCGAGTGGGTTCCAGTGTTGTATGCGAATACCACCGGTGCTAAGAATTCATCCCAATTGTTATTTTCTCGGTCCTGAAGTTTGGCAATTTGTGGAATAAATGTCGCGTTGAACCTCTCAATCATGCCATTCGACTGCGGATGATATGTGGTTGAATATGTGTGATTATATCCAACTAATTTCGCCATTGCCTCCATCAGCTGATTGTGGAAATGTGTGCCTTGATCGGATAACACCGCTACCGGTACCCCATATCTGCAAATGTATTCGTTGAATAGTGCTTCGGCAGTTGTTTGTGCCGAGCAATCAGGTACAGCAACAGCGACTATCCATCTTGTGAAGTAATCTGTAATGCAGAGTACATATTGATTTCCACGAGGCGTTGATTTAAGTGGACCACAGTAGTCCATACCAATTAATTGAAATGGTCCTTCTGGAGGAGTAATCGGTTGTAAATGACCCGGCTTTTTCACTCGACTAACGTTGTACTGTTGGCATGGTAAACATGATTGTATGTATCGTGTAATCGACTGTTGCATTTTCGGCCACCAGAACTTGTTTTTGATCTTCAGGTATGTTCGTTGAACTCCAAAATGTCCAGCAAGTGGATGGTTGTGATAAATCTGAAGTAGACCATCGATCATTGATGATGGTACATAAATAAGTTTCCTCTTCGTCTTGGAGTTGGTACGCATTGGCACTAATTTGTATAACAGGCCATCTTTGAATTCATAAGAACATTTGGTTGGATTCTTCTTGACTTCTGTGATCTTCTGTTCAATGATTGGATCGTTCGTTTGTTCGACCTTCAATTTCTCCATATCGAATTCGTAATTATGATCATCTTTCGATGGAGATTGTGCTTGCGGATCGGTTTTTTCTTCTGTAGGCGATGTCGTTGTTTTCTTTTGTTCAGGTGGTATAGTTTCCATCACATCTTGGTCTTGCTTTGTTTGTAACTGCTTTGCTTTAGATCGCGTCAGAACAGCTCCGACTAGTGGAGGAGTTCCATCAGGAACACGTACTTCGTTGGTCGGTTCCCTTCTTCCTTGCTTTGCGATGCCATAATCTTCATCCAATAATTCTTCTTCTCTTGTAACTGGATGTCGAGATAAATAATCGGCTAAACAATTGTGTCGTCCCTTGATATGAATCACTTGTTCGATGTTGTATTCTTGCAATAAGATCGATATTCGATCAACTCTTCGATTCTTCACTGTCGAATTCATCATGTTGCATAATGGACAATGATCTGTATAGATAATGATAGATCTTCCTAGCAAGTAAGGTCGCATACGTTGAAAACACATCCATATGGCTAATGCTTCTAGCTCAATTGGATCATATCTTTTCTGAATAGAGGATGTCACTTGCGAATGATAATAGAGATTCTTCATCTCGCCATGGATATTCTGTTGCAATGTCCCACCAATACCTATTTTCGATGCGTCGGTCGTCAGAATGATTGGATGATCATCGTTTGGATAATCAAGAAATAATGGAGAAGTCACCAAATATTGTTTTAATTTCAAAAATGCTTCGTGTTGCGGTGCTTCCCATTTGAAATTCTTCCTGTTTTCTCTGGTCAGATTTGTCACTTTGTGTATCGGTGCAGCTATCGATGCGAATGCAGGAATGAATTTTCTGTACCATGATAATCCTCCCAGGAACTTGTTCGCCTCAGCTAATGTAGACGGTTCCCGTAAACTCTTGATCGACCGAATTCGTTCATCATTTGGTTGAAATCCATTTTCTGATATGATGTGCGATAAATAATCAATTTTCTGCTGGAATAACTTGCATTTCGGTGGATTGAGTTGAAAGTTATATTTCGATAAAATGGATAATAATTGCTGGATGTGTTCCACATGTTCTTCGAATGAGCGGGAAAACACTACGATGTCATCGATGTAGACTAATGTAAATAGACGACATGGTGATAATACTTCAGCCATCACTCGTTGAAATGACGGTGGGCTGTTCTTCAATCCTTGAGCCAAGACGTTCCATTCGTATAATCCTTCAGCCGTAACGAACGCTGTCTTGTGCTTGTCTTCTTCCTTGATCGGTATTTGCCAAAAGCCGCTTTTCATATCCAACTTCGAGAAGAATTTGTATCCACCGCCTAATCGTCGTATCGTTTGTTCCATGTTCGGCAATGGGTGATTGTCTTTGATTGTCATGTTGTTCAGTTTCTTGTAATCGACAACCATTCGCCATGTTCCATCGTGCTTAGCGACCAGTAATGCTGGTGCTGCAAATGGAGAATATGACTTGCGAATAAGACCATGTTGTAGAAGATCTTGAACGATGTTGTACATTTCTTCTTCTTTCTGCGGTGTTGAATAGTACGGTCTCGATGTTGTTGGAGGGTAATCGAGTGTCTTAATTTCATGTGGTTTGACATTAACAGCAATCGCAGGTTTGCTCGTGTCGAAGAGTTTCTCGTGGCGATGAAGGATGTTCTTAATTTCATCTGCTTGTTTCGGATCTGCAACGTGTCGAGTTAACGTTGTAATATATCCGTTGACTAATTCATGATCAATCGATAAACATTTGTTGAAAGATAATGTTGGGACTGTGGTCGTTCCTCAAGGGGGAAAAAGCACTTGATGAGTTTTTGAGTTAAAATGAGTTAAGGTGAGTTAAAGTAAGTTAGAGTGAGTTAAAGTGAGTTAAGTGAGTTACACTGAGTTAAAGTGATTTACAGTGAGTTACACTGAGTTAAAGTGATTTACAGTGAGTTAC